CAGAGCCCGACGCGGGGCTCAAACTCACGGACCGCGAGATCGTGACCTGGCTGAAGTCGGACGCTCAACCGACTGCGCCACCCAGGCGCCCCAATACACGATTTAAAAGATATTAATGTTTAGGAAGAAGTTAATATTTAAATTTGTGTTGATTTAAAGAAAACTGTTAAGCAGCTAATAATACAGACCACAAAAATGTGATGATGCTATGCAAAAGACAAGTGTTAGGAGATTTTTGCTTCAGGGCTTGTAACTCTTCCTTTCTAGAGACTCTGTATCTCTCTGTGATTCTCTGAAAGGTTATTTTCCTTTCAGAGCCCAAAAGAAAGTCTACTTCTTCTAAGAAGCCTTCCTTGATTAGTCTATCTACTGGTGACCCTTCCTCCTCTGGAATCTTCCAGACTCCTCGTCTTTACACCTCATTTGGTACATTAAGTACCCCCTGTGACATACCCAGTATCTCTACGTATAACTCCTATCTTTCCCAGATTGGACCCTGAAGGAGGTCAGGCCATCTCTTCTTTTATTTGTATTTCCCATTGTGCCAAGAAAGGGGCTTTGCATATCATAGAGACAAAATAAATACCTGTGGGTATATTTTATTGTGCATATAAATAATAAAATACTTTTATTATGAAAGTTATACAAATAAATTTTGGTATTATCCGTCAATACTTATAACCACAAGTAGAAGGAAGCCACCACTGTACGAGAAAAGCAGATTCAAACCTTTCTGACGACATCCACCCACACATTAATATGGCCAAACCGACTACAGAAAAGGATGAATCAACAGAAGAGCAGCCACTGGGAAAAACTACTCAGGTTTCCAACAGGGCATGAAAATATTTTGCGATGTAAGAGTATGCTGCGTATGTGATCACAGAGCTATAGGAAATACCTGTGCAAATGTTTGTTGAATTTACCTTTCAAATGTTCTGGAGAAGATCAGGCTGTAAAGAAACAAGATGACACCATGGCCTCCTTCCTCTTTGAACTGTTTGGGGGGGACAAAACAAAAGCATGTTTGCCTAAAAGCAATGCAGCTATGTATATCTCCAGGCATGAATTCAAGGATTTATAGCCCAAGATTTTTTTTTTTTTTTTTTTTTT